AAATTGGACTATTATATATCAAAATACTTTTTCAAAAGAAAAAAACAATTGGTGGATATTTTTTTTTACAATTTTCGGGGAAAAAGATTTACGAGCCTTTAATTTCCGTGTGTCGAGTTGTGATTTCAAAATTCTGCTATCCCTGGTATTTTCAAATATCTCCCATTACCTCCAATAAGGGAAAGTACATCGTAAAAATCAGATGGATTTTTAAGCGATCCAAATTTGATGAGATTCTAAAACCTTTGAAGCCGTGATCCAGTCGTCAGACAAATGCAAGGTAACACAGAAATGGAAGACATTTTTGCCACACCATGAGCAAGTTTTGTTCCATCTTATTTATCCCAGTTAAAACTTGTGTAACTGGGAGTTCCATGACATTGCACGTTGTCGATTCATCGCACAGTTTTACATCTAACTCAAAACGAGTGAATCTTAGATGGCAGATCAGTCAGCTGGCGTACGTGTGATAATAAAATAAAAGCTGTTAATATATCGATATTTACTATATTGGGGGCAGCTGTCTTGAACACGGCACGAAACTAAATAAAGAGACGATTAGAGAAACGCGTTTTTCAGTTTCGTTGCAATTATGTACGCCTTTCATTGTCAGTGTATACATTTTCTATAGAACAAGTAACCTGTAGAATGCTGTGTGGGTAATATTTTTTCTTTTTGATTTTTGTTGCATTTGCAGCAAATAATTACCATACAATGAGAAATCTATAGGGTCGGATATACCTCTCAGCTGGTTTCACATGCATAGTTCAAGCCTGCCTAACCGGTGCTTATACCAGGATAGTTACAGCACCTAGACGGTCTGTGGTTACAGCACCATGTTCCGAGTAATCGCAAGAAATTGACATTACAATAGAAAATAAAAGACTGGCACTCCCATGCAATTAATAGCAAGTGAAATTCCTGGGATTGAAACATAGAATTTGAAGTAACTGATGCAGGCAATGAATAACTTGGCATGAAGACGAGCTAGTTTATTTAATCAGTGCTGAACTAGAGGCTGGAATTATAATTACGTTCGTTGTCATATAATTTGTTTATTTCAATTTCTCATGAAGTCACATAGAATATACTAGTAAAAAGATGTTCTGGGGATGTAGTGTATATGGAGGGGTAGGGAGGGTGTCATATAATTTGTTCATTTCCAACTCTCATGAAGTCACATAGAATTTCACTTAGAATTTATTTTCGCTGAAAAGTGTTCAGTCATTACGTGTGGATCTAATTTTCACTGTGCTGTGTCAAGTCTCAAAAGAGTATAGGGGAAATGGCATTTTCACTGGAATTTATTTTAGCGGAAAAATGTTTTCAGTGAAAATGAAGTATTCCACAGTACTACGTAGGGGGCGTTTCAGGGTCAAAAGGTATATTTGTGTATCAAAATGACAATGGTTAGTTTACATTAGTAGTCACAAATAAGAAAGAAACTAAGAGTTTTTATATTTTATTTGTGAGTGGAAAAATAAAAATCTTTTATAAGTATTGATTAACACCGAAGTGTGCAAAGTGTTCGCAACTGACAAAATATTGAATAAAAAATATGACTTCCAACTGAAAGTAAGATTGACTGAATCTTTTTATGTAAATTCAAGTGGGATACTGCACACAGTATAGTTAAGCAATAACCCCCGCCGAAGGCGTGTATACCACGAGATATTGCACAATTCACGACATATATGCACGAGCCGCAGGCGAGTGCATATATGGAGTGAATTGTGCAATATCAAGTGGTATACCCAACTTCCGCGGGGGTTATTGCTATTATATTATACCAGTATATTGACAATTCGATAAAACTTGTAAAAAAAGAGTTTACTTTCATCTACTAAAAGATCATGATTATGGTGGCCCTTGAACATGGATATTTATAAGAATAGTATGTAGTTGTACGCTGAATGCATACAAAAATTACATGCGCAACACAGTTCAAATTGAATACAAACTAATTTTTATTCCACATGAAAAAAAACATATCCACGTTGAATACTAGAGCAGCGTAAACACACATATTAGCATAACAAAGGATGACCTTTCTGACCTTTTACTGACGCACAACGCGATTTGAAA